ACTTGATACGACCGCTTTACTTCTTATTTGAGAAGTAAGAGTACAAGTTAGTATTTTTATATTTTTTCATATAATAAAAGAAGCTTAAATGGGAAAAAAATGTAATAAACCACAAAAATATCTACTCATATTATAAGCAATGGTCTTCATCGTATTTTTATTGCCTTGCCATGATTCATTAAAATATAATTGTTGATGCTCCAATAGCTTTATGTACAAAATATTGATGTTTTCCATTCCATCCTATTAATTACCCTTTGAGAGTGGATTTTTGATAAATTTGAATTCCATAAATAGAACTTTTTTTTGGTGATATTTCCTATCAAACATTAGAAACAAAAATACATATATGTGATATCTAGTAATGAATATTTGAACTTTGGTCTCTTTTTTCCCCATAATTATGATTTACTATTAATCAATCAAATCTCAAATAGTATGTATGTATCCTTAATCATGAAGTACATTGTTAAGGAAACAATCATTGGATGGGTCTGCACATCTATGACAATAGTTGTTCTAGTGGAGGCTGACACACTCAGTGTGAGCTCGGGAGCCCCCTCAATAGCTGGTGGTAGATTGAGAATCCATCACAACATGAACTCTACTAATAAGGTCTACCTCTATTGGCACCGAGATGGAAGAAGCTCCACCTGCACAAGCTATGAGCTCATCTAGTTCCTAATCAACCTTGGACCTCCTCTAAGCTTCCAAAATATCTTCCTTCTCCTGGTATCTTTTCACATTCTTTCTCTTCATTGATTATTCTTCTCCTTATCTTACTCACGAGGTCTCTTTCCTGAGGCCTAAGGGAAATAACTCAATAAGTCAATAGATGGATCCACCCCTGCAATTCATCGATATCTGGAATTGGGAACACCTCTTTTGACCTCTCTTGTAGATGTATGAGCTCAAAATCCCATAGGTAGAAAAAGGATTATGCATGAGCATCATTTCCCAAGTTAACCTGTTGATGTCCATATAAATCGTCAATTTCTCTTTTCCTATTTTTTCCTGACCATAATATTTTTGAAAATTTATAAGAATCAAATAGAGAAAGTTCAACGAACATGAAAATGACTATATACCAACACACAAACAAACACACACACACACACACACACACACACACTAAGTTCATGTTCCAACTACATAATGTTTGATCAACTTGTTGCTTCGAATATGTTGTTTACATCTCGGTGTCACTTGCAAATTAAACAATTTTATGACCATGCATACATAGATTAAATCTAATTGCCAATTGTAATATTATTTTCTCGAGCTAACCTTCATTGTTTCTTCATTGTTACTTAATTTCTTCTTTGTTTCATGAACTTCCCCATGTAGAATGAAATTGTAAAGCTCAACCAAAGATCGAAACTTTTTGTTTGTATCCAAATGATGGTAGATCTGTTTGCAACAATTATTAAATATTTATGTTTTCACAATCTCGCCAATGACAACTTAACCAATTTTGTTGGGAAGAAAACATAAATAAATTCAAATTGAACCTACATAATTATTTATTGAACTAGCTAGACGAGAAGTATTCTTGATGATCCAGTTTTGTCTTCTCTACTCAAATGTTTAAGTATGCAGGTAAAACATTTTTTTATCATCTCATTCTGTAACCAAAGAAGTTGTACATAAGTAAATAAAAATTATCAAAAATTCCTTAAGAAAAGGTAATTATCTGAATGTAATGGGAGCATCAACATTTTGTGCATCAAGAATATTGGAGCATCAATATTCTCTAAAGGATCGTGGTCTGATCAACATAATAAGAAGTTTATTTCTTCTAAATAAAAGTAGATGATTTCGTTGTTTATTGTTTAGTTTGTCCATTTCGGCTTCTTGTATTTTATTGAAAAAAATAAAATTACTAGCTTCTACTTCTACCTTGATTGTTACATTAGGCCTATAACTATTTCTAACGTATTTGTATGGTTAATTCAAATGGTAAGAACTGTTTACTTTTCCTAGACCCCGTTTTGTTGGATCACTCTAGGTATTCAAAATTGCTCGATTTCTAGAAATTTTGATATTTGTGTCAAATAACATTTAAAAAACTTAATAGTAGCGCTAGAATGCAAAAAAAAAAAAATTGTCCATCAATCTTATTGATTTTGTAACAAGACAAATGATTTCTATGGTTAGGCATCTCTTAAGATTGACTAACTAATTAGATATGAGATTAAATGTTTCATCCTTGATAAGAACTTCACTTTCTAATGAAATTGTAAAAGTGATCCCAGCCTTAAAATTTATCACAAATTAAATTTATTTTCACTATAGCAATGTTATTTCTTGGTGCATTTTGTCAAACCGAATATGATTAATTTCCTCTATTCTAACCTAGATTTACTAGAATTTGCATCCTAGCAATCGAAAAGTAATAAAAGAATATTAGATAATAAAGAGGCAAGAATCATGAAAAACTTAGATCTATCTAATCCAGTAAAAATATTTGAGATCTTGTTTTATATATAGTTGAATATCATATGGAATAACTTTATAACAAAACACTTATCATTCCTTAGTTTGAATAAATTTTAATACCATTAACATGCATATTCTAAGGTTCTAAAATGATAAAAGCTCACCAATTTCATCTATTCACCCTTATGACCCTACTCCATCATGATGAATTACCATCATTACAGTCCACCATTATCAAAATCATCATCAACGACTCACAACTACTATCCTCAACCAACAACACAATCAATCACTATAATAAGTAAATAGTAACAGGAGCAACTATTTACAATTATTATTGACATCAATCATCAATACAACAAAACTTATTTAACAATATCGAGAATCACCATCATAAGTTACCACTATTTATTTTCATCCATCATTATTATTCACAGTAACCATTTATTAAAAGTATCATCCAGCTATCAATCACCGCCAAACTATTGTTGTTAGCTTCCACTAAAATCGTAAAAAATATATCTATTATCCACAACACAATCATTAGTCAATATACCATCCTTAAGTAACATTCATTACGACAATCACTAGCCATTACAATTGCCAATAACCATATAATTTTGTGAAAATATTTTATTGATGTAGTATTATATTTATTTTCTTTCAATATAATTTAACTAAAATGGCTTAGATGACGCCTATATTAATGCTGAATTTGTTATAACAAACACATACTTTCTTAGGGGCCTATGACTCCTCTGGATATTTTTGTTGAAACATTTTTTTTTGAAATTATTTGAAGAGATTAGTAAAAACCCCAAAACTTTCTTTATGTTGTATGTAAACGCGAATTGATCAGTGGTAAAAAATTAAAAGAGTTCAATCATTATCACCCACTTACACTATTTTTTTTTGATTATGTTCTTTCTCAATAAAAGTGTGAGAAACAGTTCTATCCTGACAGAGTAATTCAAGGAGAGCTATGCCCTGATTTGCAAAGATAATATATATTATATCAAATAAAAAAGAAAAAGATGTCGCCTCTTCTAAAATGTTTCAATTTTGTTAGTGGAACATGTGCATATGATTTGGATGGAAAGGAAAAATATAACAATCTCATAGAATTGAAGAACTTAAACAATACTCACTATAAGAATTACTAAGTTGATCATGTGCATATGATCTTCCACGAGTCAATTTCTACAAGTTTTTGAAGTCATGACTTGCTATAAGAATTACTAAGTTGAATTTCTATTCCCTATGGAGTTTGTTTTTATTGTACTAGCAGTATTAAATTTTATGGTTTGATGTAAATCCAATTCAATTTTTTTGATTTATGCATAATACTTTTGGTATATAAAATACATGTTTATTACCCAAAAAAAAATACCACTATATGATAAACTTTATATTTTTTATGTCAAAACTCAAAATATTAGAATGCACTTACATTATTAATGTATATGTCAAAACTCAAAACATTAGAATGCACTTACATTATTCCTAAATTTTACTCGGGTGAATTTGGTACAAAGGATAATATTTTGCAAAAAAGTATTTTCAAAAATATTTTTAGGAAAATATGGTTGTTTCTCACTTATAAAAATAAATTCCTCTCATTCACGCTGTATTCAGATAAACTTGGCCCCCCCATAAAGTATGAATTTGTTACAATAAATCTTATCATACTTGAAGTGCCATTTAAGCTATTTTTCATAAATTTTAAATTATTAATTTTTTTCAATATAGAAATACTTTTTATGAATTAATATGTACATTAAAAGTATTATTATTATTCAAAATTTAGATGTTAATACATAATCTTAGTGCTGAGGTGTGTAACACCCAAAAACAAACTAAGGTAAATTGAGCTTCGTGAATGTTTCTTCAATTAATTTTTGTATTAAAATTAGTTATAATGATGTCCTTAGCAGTGCGTGAAGTTTGGAGGCCAAACGTCCAAGAACTTCCATGACGTTCGAAAGATATGACTTGGATTGTGCTTGTGTGTTTTCATGCGTTGTAGTGAGTTTTACATGCTCGTTTTGGTTGAAATTGGTTTGGGATGTTACTATGACCTAGATGACTATGTTTAGGGGTTTAACGTCCTGGTACGATCCCACCTAGGACCCACGAGGGTCCCTAGAGAAGGGACAAGACTTAGACCCAAAACTTCCTATACAATTCCTAGAAACAAACCAGTCGACGTCTAGTTGACCAATTGACGGATCGTCAACTTGGTCCATCGATTGGACCTGAATGTCTGCAGGTTATGAGGGATGCAGACCCAACCAACGAACCCTTACCATTTGGGCATCGTTTGACAAAGGTCCGTTGGTTAGGGGTCACTGGTGTGGCCTGTGAAAAGCTGTCATTTTTTTGTTTTTGGCTTGGTGTATTTTGCAGTATGGGTACTATTGGCCTACCATTCACTAATATACTCATGAGTTTTCCATGTCATGTGATAGGGGCCAAAGAGATAGAGGAATTTATAAGAGGAAAGAGCTCCCTTTAAATCCCATTCTAGTGATTGAGTGGTTTGATGTATGAGCATTTATTTAATGGGCCCGTTTGTGACTTCTCATGGGATGAAATTTATACTTGTGGCGGTGGACTATGTGTCAAAATGTGTGGAAGCCATAGCACTTGCCAACAATGAACTGAAGAGTGTCATTGCATTCTTGAAAAAGAACATCTTCTCCAGATATGGCACACCTAGGGCCATTATTAGTGATGGGGGATCTTATTTTTGCAACAAGTTGTTCAAAGGGATATTGGATAAATATGGGGTTCACAACAATATAGCCACTCTGTACCATCCACAGACTAGTGGGAAAGGTTTGGTTTCCCATAACAAAATCAAGCAGATACTGTCAAAAACGGTAAATGCTAATAGAACGGATTGATCAAGGAGGATTGATGATGCTCTTTGGGCCTACCAGACTGTAAACAAGACCCCCATAGGTATGTCTCCTTACAAACTTGTATATGGGAAGGCCTGTCACTTGTCAGTTGAGTTAGAGCATAAGGCCATGTGGGCAATGAAGAAACTGAAGATAGATTGGCAGAGACTTAACGGGTTGAATGAGCTTGATAAGTTTTGCCTAAAAACATATGAAAGTTCATCCATTTTAAAAAAAAAGAGATGATGAAGAAGTACCATGACCAAAAGATTGAAAAGTGAGAATTTGTGATTGGGGACTTGGTTCTTCTATTCAATTCAAGGCTATGCTTGTTCCCAGGAAACTCGAGTCCAAGTGGACTGGGCCATTCCTTATCACTAAAGTGTTCCCTCATGGAGCGGTTGAGTTGGAGAACAAGAAGGGTGCAAAATTCACGGTCAATGGGCAAAGAATCAAGATCTACCTAGGGCACGCGGAGATTGTCGATGGAGTGGTTCAATCATATCTCCTTGATGAAGTTTGATTAATCAAAGATCTTGCATTGTGTCGCGACGTTAAATCAATTGCTTTTTGGGAGGCAACCAAAAGTGTATCCTCTAGAAAAAAATAGATTTTTCTTTTCTTTGTAGGAATAGTTGCATTCCCTTATTTCATTTTTTGTTTACTCATCTTCATGCGTCATATTTTTTTTATTGTGTTAGATAGAAAGTTGTTTAGGTTCTGTGTCTCAAAAGTGTCTAGATAAACACCAAAAGAATAACTTAATATGTGTTCAATGTGCAGGGGCCAAACCTAAGAATTCTACAGAAATTGGTCTGGTGCATAGATCTACGGATCAACCAATGGGTCGTCGTTTAATCGGCAGACCGTTGATGGTGTCCATAGTTCCCAGGTATGTCTTGAAAATTTTTCCAAGTCTTCATGAGATCGATGTTCCAGTCGATGGTCCGTCGAATGACTTACAGACCGTCGATGGGGTATCGTTAGTTCAAAGAACTAGTGACCCAACCTGACCCAACCGACTATATTAAAGACAAACCATTTAATTAACCTCTAAATATATTTTCAAATTTCCTCCCAACCGTTTCCCTCCCCTTACTCCCTTCCTTTTCCATTAACTCCCCATATCTCTCTCTTCCATTTTCTTCACAATCCCAAACTCCCACAAAATCCCAAAACCCTACCCTCCCCAGATTCTACTCTATCTCCCATATTTTCTCCATTCGGTGTTCGAAGGCTGGTACGTAGGTTGGTTGTTGAGAAGATCACCCACTCCACTACTGATTTCAGTTATTTCAATTACCTTAGGTCAATGAATTGTCGTTCATTTGCTGTTGGAAACATAAAATTTGTATGTGGTTCTTGACTTAGGGACAAAAATTGCATGCTAACTGGTTAAATTATGGGTACTATGTCACTAGGAATGATAGAAAGTGAATGGGTTGGGGGTGTAATCTGTGTAAAAAAAAGTTGTTTCTTGACATTCCGACTTAGGGTTTCAAAGCATCGTAGAATCTGAGATCGAAACTAGCAAAATTAAAACTCTAAAGATGAAGAATTGGTCTTGTACTTGTTGCCAACTGTTGGGTGAACTTATGATTGGCTTAAAGTTGTCAAATTGTGATTTTTAAAAAAAGTCTTGAAACCTATCTCTGACAAACACCACGAGACCCCATCTATGGACCGTCGGTTGATCGATGGTCTGTCGATAGTTAAACTTAAAAAATGCTGAACTTTGAGTCGGCCCATTCTACGTGGTCGATTGAGGCCACTTTCTCCGATTCTGGATCACTTGGAGCCACTCTCCCAGATGTGCCTGTCCGCCATGCCTTGTATGATGAGGCCCAGAGTTTGGAGTCTGCTCTGGAACCCTAGCATGAGGTCCCTGCAACGGTTTTAGTGAGCCAAAGTGGTGGTGCGTATATGTCTAGTATCAGGTATACATGGATGTAAATGTTCTAAATTATAAGGTGCATGGCTTGTTTACCTGCCACAGGCTCGAGTAGATGGCGAAGAGTGTGGGTTCATACAAAGAGGAGGTTGTGCATGAGTTATACGCATCATACGTGGTGACTCTCAGAGGTGCTTTGGACAGACGGGTGAAACCTTCCAAACATTACTACTCACAGAGGTTTTAGTTAGAGGCTGCCGGGTGGAAATTTCTTCTACCTCCATCCGTTGTTTCTTGTACGGTATGTCCAGGGGTGCCGCGAGGGTTCCCCTTACTCCAGAGTTTGATTACAGGTGGGATTTGGTCAAGAGTGGCCAGTTTCAGCGGAGCATAGATCAGAGAGAATACACAAAGATGTGGATTTCACAATATCTCTCCATTGAAGTTGAGGGAGCAAATTTGTTTTGGACCCCAAAGTCCTTATCAAGAAGGCCAACCTCACCTTTGCAGCCAACTTCTTCTGGCTTTTAGTCTGCCACCGCCTATCCCCACGACAGTAGATAATATCCTTACTTGGGATAGAGCGTTCATGGATACATCACTCGTAGCCGGTTTGGATATCGACTTCACGAGGTTGTTGACCTTTGTGATACATAAGAGGGATTTTAAGACCTCTAGTACTTACCCGTTCGCCATTCTGATTTTTGAGTTATGCAGGGATGCTGGAGTGCCACATCGAAACTCCGATGTCCTCCGTACTCTGACCGGGACAGTGGATATAGGTCTCATCATGGATGAGGCCAATATGGCTGTACCACGGCGAGGGCCCAGAGTTGATTTGCAGCCGCCGAGTGAGAACTTAGCGGATACAGTAGATTTAGCCCAAGTGGCTGATTCTGCCACTTCAGAGCCCACTAATACCACCTCGGCTTAGTCTTCCCCTGGCACTAGTCCTGATTGCTAGGCTCCAGAAGTTACGAGCCTATATGGCCACCTTGCTGCTTCATATCCATCCTTGGATGCAGAAATCTATTGCCGAGGCTGAGGACCGGATTGAGAAGAGGTTGGCTCAGCGAACAGAGCGGAAGATTCAGGCGGTCTACCAATGCATAGATACATTTGCGCCACGAGTTCTAGCACACCTAGCCCCCACCATTAATGGTAACCCTCTATCACACTTTAATCTCTTGAATCAATACGTTCTTCCATAATCAAATTTTGACTTGTGTCAAATTTGAAAAATATCAAAAAGAAAAACAAGTTAAGATATTCAAGTGAGTACTCGGTCTCTTGTAAAGTATGAGTGTTTAGACATTATTTTAACAACTTTTCTAAATTATACATTTATTATTTTTAAAACATTCATATTTGTAACGACCTATTAAGTTGTGATACATCATTATTGTCACATCCAAGAATACCTCCTAGACGTAATCGGCATCGTCATCCTCTTTGAAGACTAAAATTAGCCTTATAGCTTACTTCATTACATTCATAGGTTAAAATTAGCGGAAAATTAAAACTTTTCATACTACATTGAGGTTTGCATAGACCTCTACATACACATACTGTGTGTGTGTGTGTGTGTGTGTATATATATATATATATATATATATATATATATATATATATATATATATATATATATATATATATATCAAGTATACATAGACCCTTCATATAGGAAGATTACTTAGTCTTCTACTTTTATTGCACATAGATAAATAGAAAATAACATTGTCTCAAATAGTCGTCTCATCTCATAACCATCTAATAAGAGTATATCAAATTGGTTCTAGCCCATACATCAATGAAACAAGACCACATATAGGTCATACAATGTTAAATATCCAAATGAAAGGGAAAGAAACATAAGAATCTTGAAACTAAAGCAATATCATAATATTGATAGTGACATTGCTCTCGCAAAGTGAGGATCTACCCTACTTGGATGATTAAGAACTCCAAATCTTCTTCAAAGTCATCTCTAAAAGTCCTTCAATGACCAGAACCTAAAATTTTGGGGGAAAAGGAAGAAATAGGGTCAGTACACCACTTGTACTAAGGAGGAGTACTTTGGGTTTTTGTTTCAATCTTGGGTCAAGAGCTTTCTCTTGGTGTTCCAGGAAATAAGATACAATAGCACAATGAATAGATGAGGGAAAATACATTGTTGCAACAATAGATATAAATTAAGCACTGTGATTGAGGAAAATCATGTGTGATGTGAATACGGAATAAAAAAAGGGATTGAGAGTTATAATGATAACCAAGCTGCAATTTCTATTGCTTATAATTCAGCGTTTCATGGGAGAACAAAGCATTTCAATGTTAAGTTGTTTTCTAAAGATACATGCATAAATATTGATATGTGAAGCTTCTTTACTATAAAAGTGATGAGCAGGTTGCTGAAATTTTCACCTAGCCCCTTCCCCTTGGTAAGTTTGAGCTTTTTTTTTTAGAATGAAAGTAAGAATCTTCAGATCATAAAGCAAGGAGGAGTTTTAGTTTCTATGTTTTAGGACTGCAACTTTCTTTATTTAGTGTAGTAAAATAGTCTTCTTAAAAGGGCTTCTTTTATTAGTCTTTAGGATTTTGTGTATCTTTAACAAATTCAGTGCTGATATTTAGGTAATTGAAGTTACTGTTGTTTTATAATGTAAGTCTTCATTGCTGTGAATAATAAAGACTTGTCACTTCAAATTCAAAAGCTTTCTTCTTTCTAGTTCTATAGTAATTTTTTTTGTATATTTATTCCTTGATCTTCACAAGTATCATGATGGTTTTTTTTAATGGTTTTCACTCAATTTTTCTAATTCTTTTTAATATATTTATTCATTAAAAAGCTTAAGAGTTGTAATGATATATATAATAGATTATCAATACTAATTCAATGTTTGTTATATTATTTTCAAAATAATTATACTAAATAAATATCTATTAATCTAAGGTGTTCATCTAGGTATAAATGGCTCAGTGGATGTGGAACAAAACATTTGTGTAAAAACTTGAAAATCTAGTTTCTCTTTTCTTAATTTTACAACATTGAATAATATCATATAGACAAATTTATCTTGAATGACCTAACAATTTTTTATATGAGGGTAGACTTAACTAAAAAAGATAGAACAATAGAAGAAAAAGATCTATATATGTCATATCTACTATTTGGGAATACAATTTCGACTTGTAAAAAGTAAGATATTAGAACTACAGAGCCCACTCAAATCAAAAGAGCAAGACTTGCTGTCTCGGACACTTAGCAAAGCTCTTAATGAGAGCTATCCACCCTCACCTTATTATTCTCTCCTTAGCCTCTATTTTTAGAATGTACAAGTAAGGAGCCGGTGAGATCCATCCCGATTAGTGCAATTAGATAGTTAGAGTTAGTAGTTTCTTAAAGAATTCTAAAAGGAAGAGTATTCTTACATAAATATCTCTCTCTCTACACACATTCATTCTCTCTTTCTCTCTCCAACACACACATATATCATCAAAAAGTAGTTCTAGTATGTATAAAAGAAATTCTGCACGATTTATAAGGAATAAAACTGAGTACCTTAAAATAAAAAGAAGTTCTCAAAAACTTACGTTAAAATCATAACTTTTCGATATATGAAGTGTGATAAAAT